CATTGGGGTGGGCGGGGCTTCCGTCACCGCCGGTTTGGGCACATAATCTGAGCGCTGCTTCTGAACGGCACAAACAGCACAGTCAGACACTGAACTCCGCTGTGATCAAGACCTCATGAAACCAGCGCCACACTGATGCACTTCCTGTTCACACAGGACATGCTGAAGCGCTCGTGATTTAGTTCCCCTGCAGACCTGCTGTAATCACATGATCAACTTTGATTGGACATCAGATGCGCTCATCAAAGCCATGAATCTGATTGCATGAGGTCTCTAAGGGGCCGTTCACACAGAAAGCGTTTTTGTATTCCAATGCGCTACTTTTCCTTTGTTTTTCTATGTAAACACATACTAGACGGACATGCATGACCATTACTCACGTCTCGTGTCTTTTGCGGCATCTCACACATGAGCGCAGCGTTTCTAAGACGCTGTGTCAAGTTAAAAGAGTTTAAACTTTTACACGCAGTGCTGCTCATCAATGTCAGTTCCAGAACAGTGGACCAATCAGAAGAGCCCGGAGGCGGGGCAAGCATTGTTTACAGTAGCAAGTTGGCATGGCAACTGTTTTATTTGACAGCAGCATGGTGGAGGTGTTCTGCGCTGCGCTTTTTTAAAAAGCTTCGTCTCACGTTTTTAGACGCAAAGACGTGTTATATGTGAACGGCCCCTAACACACAGATCAACAGTAGTTCATAATTTATACTGTATTAATAATTCTAATGTCTAGCCAGCCTCTACACAGACAGATCTCTATGAAAAACATACTGAGATGGTTGATTATGGGGGGGTTCACTGACTGGGAGTCAAAATAATCCAGTTACCTCGTTTAACTCGCCCAGTAATTGCTTGAGAGAAAAATGAAGAGTGACGTGAAAATGAAATTCAACAACTAACACACACACACACACACACACACACACACATACACATAGAGCAAATAAAACACACACACACACACACAGCAAATAAAACACACACACACAGCAAATAAAACACACACACAGCAAATAAAACACTCACACACACACACAGCAAATAAAACACACACACACTCACAGCAAATAAACACACACACAGCAAATAAAACACACACAGTCAGCAAATAAAACACACACACACATGCATTTACTAGTCATTTCATAGACATAAATTGTTTTATTTACAGCTATTTATAAATACTAACTAACACACTAACCCTAACAGAACACACACACACACACACACACACACACATAGAGCAAATAAAACACACACACACACACACAGCAAATAAAACACACACACAGCAAATAAAACACTCACACACACACACAGCAAATAAAACACACACCACACACACACTCACGCACACACACACACACACACACACACACACACACTCACGCACACACGCACACACACTCACTCACTCACTCACTCACTCACTCTCACGCACACACACAGACACACACACTCTCACACACACACACACAGAGGGAGATAAACTGAACTAATGCAGGAAATCAAAACAAACTGAACACAATCACTCCAGTTTACCTTAAACAACTCAAATTCCTTTTTTGGCATCATTAGCTTTAAGATGAACAGATGAACACAAACAATAATTCTATGACGTGGCAAAACAAGGAGATGAAATGAAAGTGAAGATGAAGCATGCAGACAGAAGCTGAGTTAGCGTCTCGTGCGTGTGTGTGTGTGTGTGTGTGAGTGTGTGAGTGTATGTATGTGTATGTGTGTATGTATGTGTGTGTGTGTGTGTGTGTGTGTGTGTGTCACCTGTATGGTGTGGCTATAGATGGGCTCCCCGCGGCCCGTCATGTCCACTGCTCTTCTGATCTCCAAGATGTTGTTTGGCACATATCCTATAGCCCCCGACCCGTTTCGCACCTTCCACCACTGCTTCCTGTCATCCAGCACCTGACGACCAATCAGATCGACACGTCACATGACACATCATCAGTAATATCATCATCATCATCATGTGACGTACCTCCACCACCTCGTCTTTCATCACAGACAGTTCAGTGTTGTTTCTGGCCACAAAGTCGTATCTGGATTTGGCAAAGTTCCTCTGCGTCCGGCTGTGAGCCTCAAGGTTCCTGAAGAGAAAGAGTCAATGAACCTCCACAAATAAAAAAAGAATCACGTCTTGTTTTTCACTACAAAAACATACGTTTAACTGAGAAGCAAAATGACTTAAGATATTGTTTTCTTGCCTTGTTTTCTGAAATAATAATCAAAATTAAGTGAGTTTGAGCTTAAAACAAGAATATCTGCTAATGGGGTCAGAAAAATAAAAACAAGATTAATTTAGCTTGTTTTAACCCTTGTGTGTGTGTGTGTGTGTGTGTTTGATCAAACTAGTTGTTAATGCAAACAGCATAAATTTGGTCAAAAGTGTGTATTAGACTTTTATTAGACTTAGACTTTTATTAGATTTATTAGACTTTTATTAATAAATAAACTAAAAATAAATAAATAAAATTTCACACTAATTTCCTTTAATAAGTCTATTTTACACAAGGTGCAAACATATGTCCACACTGAAACATTCGCATTAAAACTGCAATATTTCATCTTTAATTTAAACCATTTAAGCATAAAATCATGCAGGCTTTCATTCTGCTGGCAAGTACTTTTTCAGCTTCTTACTATTTTCCACATTATAGCACCATTTTTTAAATCCGAAACTGCACCAAAAACAAATAATGCATCAAAATGAATGTTGTTGCTAATCATTGACATATCCAAGACTATAATAATAAAAAAAATCTGCTTAGCATTTAGTATATGGAAAATAATTGTTTTTTTTTGTGTGTGTGATTTTTTCCCCCACTATATTTCTGAAGTAATTTTGCTTCTCAAGTAAATGTATCTTGGTTTAACAATGTTGATATATTTGTACTGCAAAACAAGACAAAAACACTGAGGAACAACATGATTTTTTGCAGGGAAATCTCTTAAACACAAGCTCGCTCTCTTCAAATGCTGAATCTACTGATGATTGTTGTTATTGACCGACCGCTGCCGCCATGGAGGAGCGTCTCAGAGCTCAAGAACGAGACGGGAAGAGTCTTTACTCCATCAGAAGACAGAAACCTGGATGTTTTAACAGATTGAGAGTTCAGGTCAGAGTTGAGAGTTTAGAGAAGCAGAATGAACCCAGAACAGACCCAGAAGCGTAGCGCGCGCTGAGCCGGTTCTCCAGTGCGCGCGGTGCGGTCGCTCGTACCCCGGTGGGTTTTACCTATCTACATGACGGCTGACCGCGTGTTTAAAAGCAGCCACGGCCATGTCTGGCTTCAGCAGGTGCAAACGCTTGTGAGAAGTGTGACTGTAGCCGTACCCGTCTGCGCCGGGGAAGTCCTGGACCACCGGCTGCTGTCGGGAGAGAAAACACTTTCACTTCAACAAGTACTTCACAGCGTCACACTGTAAGTGCTAAAGGTGAAAGAGCGTCTCACGTCCACAGGTCTCTGAACTGCGCCGAGCCTCTCTGCCAGCTGAGCCACGTCCTGCTCACGAGACACCAGCACTGGCGGCTCCCAGCCGTCCCGGAAACACAGCGTGTGCGGAGGAAACGGGTGATCCTTCGGCCACTCCAACCTCCACACAAGACACATCACAATACACATTAGTGATGCGCGGATGGGGTTATATCCACAGGTCGGGTAATAAAAAAATGCATTCTGATTATTTGCGTGTGGATCAGATAAATCATTAATGATGCAAATATTAACTACATTTTCTAAAATATGAACGTGTTTCAAATAGGCTACAGAAATTGAATAAACTGTAAATTAACATATTAAAGTTATTCAACAAAACATTATTTGTGACCCTGGACCACAAAACCAGTCTTAAGGGTCAATTTTTCGAAATTGAGATTTATACATCATCTGAAAGCTGAATGAATAAGCTTTCCATTGATGTATGGTTTGTTAGGATAAATTTGTCCAAATGAAGTTCTTGGCAATGCATATTACTAATCAAAAATGAAGTTTTGATATATTTATGGTAGGAAATTTACAAAATATCTTCATGGAACATGATCTTTACTTAATAAAATTAAACATTTGTTCGGTTAGGATATTTAAATATCGGCTGTGTTTGTTCTGTAAATTTTTTTTTACATTTGTTCGGTTAGGATATTTAAATATCGGCTGTGTTTGTTCTGTAAAAAATTAAACATTTGTTCGGTTAGGATATTTAAATATCGGCTGTGTTTGTTCTGTAAAAAATTAAACATTTGTTCGGCTAGGATATTGAAATATCGGCTGTTTGTTCTGTAAAAAATTAAACATTTGTTCAGTTAGGATATTTAAATATCGGCTGTGTTTGTTCTGTAAAATTTAAACATTTGTTTGGTTAGGAGATTTAAATATCGGTTGTGTTTGTTCTGTAAAAAATTAAACATTTGTTCGGTTAGGAGATTTAAATATCGGCTGTGTTTGTTTTGTAAAAAATTAAACATTTGTTCGGTTAGACGATTTAAATATCGGCTGTGTTTGTTCTGTAAAAAATTAAACATTTGTTCAGTTAGGAGATTTAAATATCGGCTGTGTTTATTCTGTAAAAAATTAAACATTTGTTCGGTTTAATTTTTTAGGTTTTGAGATTTAGGTATCGGTTGCTTTTGTTTCTGTTAAGAGATTTATATCTTGTTTGATTTTGTTCTATGAAAAGTTTTAAATATCGGTCAGTTTTGTTATTAAGAGAGACGCTCCAGTACCTGCATTTGGTCCATCCGTCTCCCAGCGTAACCCACAGGTGTCTCTCCTCCGCCGAACCCGCCGCGTGCAGGAAGTCAATGGCTTCTCTGGTGAGGAGAGGAACGATCACGCTTTTAGCCAGATCCACTCCTCCAGACGTCTGGATCACCTGAGACACACACACACACACACACACACAAACACGTCAGTCCGACAGAACAACTGTTCCACACACACACACACACACACACACGAACAGAAGACGCACCAGTCTAAGTGGATTGAACAGGAAGTGGACCAGATCCACAGCGCTGGGGTTCTGAATGTGGTTCTTCAACTTCCCCTGGAACGACAAACAATAATCACATCACAGATCATATAAATGAAATTTTTCTAATGCTTGTAATTGGGATGGTAACCTGTTTAACGTCACTCACCAGCAGGTTGAAGGCGTGTTTGAACTTCTGGAAGCAGTCGATAAACTCGTCCTGAGACGGAGGTTTAGCTCTCAGCGTCAAAACTCCCTCTGATTGAAGACACACAGCAAACACACTCATGACACACTGATGATGACGAGGATGATGTGGATGTGTGATGTGAGGAGACGCTCACCTCCGGGTCCTTTCTTTTTGCTCTTCTTGGTATTCTTGCGCTTTGAGAGCTCGTTAAAGGCCTCGGCGGCTTTCTGCAGTTTGGTGACGAAGTGTTCGATGTCGTCCAGAATGTGATTGAGGATTTGCTGTAACACACGTCAGTATTTTACCATCTGCTGCACGCACACACACACACACACACACACAGACACACACAGACAGACACACACACAGACATGTGCAACACCAACGTGACTCTCGCACAACCATCAAACTGACTGAAAGTCTTCAGGATGTGTTTTATCCACTGCGAAATATTATCATATTATAAAATTGCATTGCAAAAAAAAAAAATCACTATTTGGTTTGTTTGCCCAATTTGTTCAGCCTGTATTTAATGCATTTCCACACATACAGTTTCAATGGCCGGTAAAAAATATTTATAGATGTTAAATATTTTATTGCAATTGGCAGGTGTGTCAAAAAGTTAGTTTCAGACCCAGTTTATCTGCAGTGACGGACTCGACTCATTGGCCTGCACAGTCTAATTTTAAGGCTTTTTAAGACCTGGATAAATAAAAATTATAAGGGATGTGCAGTTCACAGCAGTGACAGAATTTTTTTTTATTAAGGGGTAATATTTCTCAAATTAAAATGATTTCCAGGGACATTTTCTTCTACCTATATAAGGGGATTTTTTCTATACTTATGCATATAAATCACCTTTTATGTCACACTCTAGCATTCAAATTAAAATCAATTAGAATAAAAACGGTTACCAATCAAATTAAATCATTATCATTTGTGTGTGTTGCTCAGACTCAGTTCTGCTGTGGTTTTATTTTGAAATTTTTGTTGGCAAAATAAAGACAAAACAAACAATACTGACAGTGTTGTGTCTAAAATGTAAATTATCGTTTATGTAACTGTTGTAGAAAATACATATCACAGTTGCATTTGTGCTGATATTTGGGAAAACGACACTCTTGCTCATGTGATATTTTGATATAACTACATCATATATGACAAAAACTCATTGGGGCAAAAATGCCTGTGTATATTGAATTTTGGGGGCATATAACTGCATACATGCATACACAGACTTTTTAAGACTTAATAACCTTGAATTTTAAAAATCAAATGTATACTTCTTAAGACTTTTTAAGCATCCGCAGGAACAGGAACAGAATGTGGTGTATCAGTGTAAATACTCACCACTTCTCTGTCCACTTGCGCTGCGCTCATCTCAGGAGAGCCATCCAGCTCTGTGTAATCTCTCTGTGGATCATCTGAACACAAACACACACACACACACACACGCGCACAATGAGACTCTGGAACAGGAACTCGAGGGTTAATGACAGACACGCCTCCACTTACGCTCCTGCTGCTTATTGGTCCACGCAGTCCAACTGTCCACACGGCTCTTGCCATCCGTTTGATTGACAGCTCCTGGAGGCTTGGGGGCGGGGCCTCCTGGGGGCGGAGGGACGGTCCCGTCACTCTTTAGAATCATTCTGACAGGCACAGAGAAGCGGATGCTGCGTTACCGTGGCAACAGGCATCTTCATAATTCACAAGCGCTGGACTTACTTCAGCACCTCCGAACGCTTCTTGACTTTCCCGCCCTTGTGGTCGCTGACGGCGCTCTCGATGTCCATGTGGATCAAATTGGCCTGATTTAATTACAAAATAAATGTAACTGTAATCAGTAACAGTTACTGAGAAAAAAATGTGTAATTAAATGACAGTTACTTATGAAAATGTTAACTATTACAAAGGGGGATAACTTTAAATTTATTTCCTATTTGGGTTTGTGTATATGCTTTTTTTTTTTTTTTTAATTAACTGTTTTATTTCAAGGCATTGTTAGTGTCAGTGTTTTCTGTCATAGCTATGCAAGGATTTGATTTCAAAAACAGTATCATAGCTATTAAACTATTTCTTGCTATGATTTTAAATCTGTATTTAACCTCAGAACGATCTAAAAGTAAAAAGAGGTGCTAAAGTTTGATTTTGCAGTGACTAAATAATTATAATCAATTCAAGTGATAAAGGATTTTGAAAGTCTGACAGTAATCAGTGTTGAGTCCTGCTGTAAGGTTAACCCTGCCAGCTTCAAAAAATTTTTTAAATGATTAACAATTGAGAAAAATGTTGAAAAATTGTAACACTTTATTTTAAGCTGTTCTTGTTACACGTTACATGTACTTACTATTATAATAACAATATATATATATATAAAACTACATAAATTACATGCAAGTAACCCTAAACCAAACCCTAATCCTAACCCTAACCATATAGTAAGTACATGTAGTTAATTAATATTACTCAGTACTTAAATGTATAATTACACTGTAACAAGGACACCTTAAAATAAAGTGTAACCGAAAACCTTTCGAAATTTAAATTTAGAAAAGTAATCAAATATAATCAGTTACATTACTTTAATAAAGTAATTGAAATAGTTACACTACTTATTACATTTTAAATAGGGTAGCAGGTAATCTGTAACCTATTACATTTCCAAAGTAACCTTCCCAACACTGACGGTCAACACTCAGCAAACACATGAAGGAGTGGAGACCAGACCTTGATGTTGTCGCACTGGAACAGGTGCAGGTCCGGTTTGCTCTGGCCGGACTCCTTACACACCAGCGCCAGGATGGAGTCGTAGCTGCAGGCGTTCATCACGGCCTGACAGTGCTGGATCGAGGCCACAGGAAAGCTCTCCAGCTCGTTCTGAAACAAGCACATGATCAGGCCATACACGTATCACTAGTGCTGGGTAAAAAATATCGATATCTCGATTTTAATCGATTATCATTTTTACAGAACGATATTGATTCTTAAATCCCAAGAATCGATTAGTCTAGCCTGTTTTCAGTTAATGGACGGAATGTTGAAGAGCACTTCCCATCCAATGTATCGCAATAAGCTTTGTGCTTTGTTACTTTTGATATGAAACAAAAAGTCTCAGATTTCAAATTCTGTCCACTGTATTGCAGTATTCAAACAATAAATGCCGTTTTTCAGACGCGGCAGCGCGTAGCGCATGTGAACTGATCATCTCCACATTATTACTAGTTATAGCACAAAATAAACATGACTAAACATCCGAAGGTAAGTTAAAAGAAAGAGTACAACTTTACAAAATAAACATGACTAAACATCCGAAGGCAAGTTAAAAGAAAGAGTATAACTTTACAATCCGTATCCTGTCTCATGTAATCTCTCAATCAGTGTTTCAGCCGCGCAAAGACATCAATATAACGGCTTGTAAACAATGTCACGTCACATTTACCTCAGAAAAACATATTCTGTGACCATAAACTCGTTAGTCAACTAGAAAAATAAACTGTAGAAGGGCATTTTGCTAAATATATGCACCAACATATTCATTATAAATTCTTTCATGTTTAATTTATGTTTAAATAAATCTGTCAAGTTTTTATGACAGCCATCATTTAAATGTTCATATTTCAAAAAAATGAAATGTAGTTGTAACTTTATTATTATAAAAACTTCATTAAGTGTAATTTTAGCAGTTGTATAGCCTACAAATCAGTCAGTTTTAACCTTCAATATTATTGTAATGTAGTACCAACTGACTCTCCTGTATATTTTACAGCATAAGTTGAGAGATTTTTTTTCCTTGAGAAAATTTGGCAAGTACTGTACTGTACCTGATACATATCCAAAATAATCGATATTGAATCGAATCGCAAGCCTGTGAATGAGAATCGAATCATGAAATTTGTGTCAAAACCCAGCCCTATGTATCACTGGAGTAGGGTTGGCAATCGAAAATCGATTCCAATTCCAGAATACTTAATTACAACCAATTATAATTAATACCAATTACAGGATACTTAAGGCCTGGCTGCCAACTCTCACGCATTCAGCAAGAGACTCACGCAATTGACACATCCATTTTTTTCAGTTAAAACTGTAATAATAGGATATTGGCAGAACAGATTTGGTCAAGGCTCCAGTGCGTATGTGTGTTTGCGCTCTGGAAATCGCCAAAAGATTCTATTTATAACGTATTTTTGTAGCCAATCACAGACATATCTGTTGATTTCTTGAACACTTGTGATTGGCCATTGCGTTCACTCAGATTTTTTTCCTGCACGCTTGCGATTCCTCTCAATGTAACACGACGTTAATAAGAGGTTCATTGATTATAAAGGAACTTTGTGCGATCGTGAAGTAAGTGGCACCTTTTTAGTGATTGTAAAGTAAGGGCTATTTGCGCACTTTCTAGGCTAAATCTAATCCGTTCAGAATTTGAATAAAAGTTTTGTTCTTCGGCCATATACCCTGTATAAGCAGCACAGTTTCGGGAGTGACATATAAATCCCTCATGAATGCGGGATTGATTTTCAAATGGGAGAAAAATATAATATGTGACCCTGGAGCACAAAAAAGTCTTAAGGGTCAATTTTTTGAAATTGAGATTTATACATCATCTGTTCTTAAAACAGATGTTTAAGAAATGCAGACTAATAGATTAATAAAAAAGTAGAATTTTCGTGTCAAAATATTTTTAAAATGCGGTTGCAATTATTTATAAAAGTAGCTAATGACTAGTAAATCTTGCAGTGCTATTCTTGTTGTGGTAAAAAGTTAATAGTTTTGCAGCACTGCAACAGTTATTTTATATGATTTTATGATAAAAAAAAACAAAGTATGACATAATGTCCAGATGTCAGACAAAACTCTGCTGGCAGGTGTTTTATATATTTTTTGCATTAAAATAATATACCCCCCCCAGTGTCATTTATTGATTACATTGTTACGCCAGTAGGTGAAGAAAAGGGGCTGTTAAAATGTATTTGTCTTTGAATCATTCAAGAGATTCGTTCCAAAATGCTGATTCATCCAGTAATGAAACAAGTACATCTTGAATGAGTCATTGAATCATTCGTTCATAAATTACACGTGATCTTGTTCAGTTGTCTGATGTTTTTTCTTCAGAACTGTGAGAGAACCACAATCTCCATTTAAAAAAAAACAACAACTCTATTTATCCAGAATAATGCAGCTCTATTTTGCACACAAACAGCTCTTAATTAAACGAGTCCAGTTTTTATGTAGCCTGCTGATTTTTGTTCATGGTATTCAGCTGCAACTAAATGTTTTGCAAAAAGAGAAGAATAAATGTGACCCTGGACCACAAAACCGGTAGGAAATTTACAAAATATCTTCATGGAACATGATCTTTACTTAATATTCTAATGATTTTTGGCATAAAATAAAAATCTATAATTTTGACCCATACAATGT